ACAGGAGGCGATCGCTTCATGAAAAAAATCTCCCTATTTTTTGGTTTTCAAACTTGGGATCTCTGGATAGACACCCCTGGCATAGTCACTTCCTATGTACTATTAATTAATAATACATTTTTTTCTTTTAAATAATAGAAGAAATGTTAAGCTGATTTGTGTTTTAGTTGCTTCGTAAGTGTTAACTGTACAAATGCTCTTAGAAACCAGAGCAACCAACACTACCGTATACTCTCTGATGATCTTTGCCGAAAGAAAACATGGAACCATCGTCGAGGCAATTTTGGAACAGAATAATGCAGAACTTTGTTTCAAATGTAGATTTAACGATCAATAGACAAATTTTAAAAGAATGCAGGAGCATATATCAAAATGAAATTAAATATTGTATAAAATATTATCTTGATTGTTCATTATAAAATGTTGTTTAGTTAACAAATTAGTACACAATAAACAGCATCTGTACAGCATAAATAAATTCAATATAAAATCACATGTCTTGTTGTGAATCTCCGAGTTGTAAAGAACAGATGATGTACAGCAGCAAATCAAAACAAAATTAGTATAAATGGAGAATTACGCGGATTGAAGACGCTCGTGCATATCTAAACAGGCCGTAGACATACAAATCTCAATCTCAACATTATTCAACCTCAAAATGTGCTTCACAGCACAAACACTCCGAAGAAGCCACGCCGTCGCTCGCACTGTACGTCGGAATGATCGTCAAGGGACTAATTCATATGTTCTTTCTCCAGTTTACTATACCTCCATGGTTTCAATAACGTTTTAAATTTTATTTTTGATATGTTTATTTATTTATTTATTTATTTTTATTTTTTGGTTGGTAGGAGAAGCGTGCTAAAAAACCAGAAAATGCTAAAACAAAGATAGTCTGTTCTTGTTATCACATCGTGCAGGTACATGCGTAAGTGTTACGCTTCATAAACATCATGATAACCACCCTATTTCAGAAGAGTAACGCCCGTGAGCTCGAGGGATCGGAGATGCAGCCCCGGGCCCCCAGCTCAAAGGGGCCATGGAGGCATTATTTTTTCCCATACAGTTAAGGTAGAAATTATAGAAAGGTGGGGGGGGGCCTATTTAAGGTCATTTAGGTCAACTAATAACATGAATAATTTTGCAAGAACATGTTTGCTGACTTCCCCCCGCGAGTTGCAAAAGCAGTGTTCGCTGTAGTGCCAATTGGGGGTCAGTGCATTTGTCCGACTGGTCCTTTGGTCTGAAGGGCCTTGGTCAGAAGGTCCGTTGGTCCGAAGGTCCGTTGGTCCGAAGTAATTAATTCAAATATAGACAAAAATATATTTGAAGAAAACACATGTTTGGGACCACCATGTAGTAACCTGTCTATATTGGCTAACAATATACAATTATTGCTAGGATGACTTGTCAGCTCAGTTATGTATATTTTTGACAAATTATTAGAAATTTAAAAGATTCCAAGCGAATGGAGCGTAAGTGTAACTTCCTGTTTAAGCAGGAGACAGAAAAGTTTTAATAACAATAGGGGAATTCAACTTCCATGCTTGGAAAATCCTTAACAGATTTATTTACTCATGGCCGATGGGAAACAACTGCTTTCTCACTTTTACAAAGTAGACACATTGACGTGGTCGGTTTCAGAGGGATATTCATTTTTTTCTCCCAGACGAATTGTGTTTTTTCTACTCTTCTGGGGAAGGGGAGGGAGGGGGACAACTGGGGGAAAACAAATTTTCTAGGTGGAATTTCCCCCATCCCCTGTAGTACCGCCACTGCACATTAAAAGCAAATAAGCACTATATATGATTCGTATCATAGTACATTGAGTTTTAATTCATAATACTACTGGTAATAGTTCAACTGAAATTCTCACTGGGAAAATCTTCCTATCCACGATCGAGAGACGAATTTTTATGATGTGAGTATAGGCCAACATTTTTAACTGTAAAATTGTATAGCAACTGCGTCCGAAGTACATACTCGTAATTTGTCTCCGAGCATTTCTAAACGTTTATACCCTTCAGAATCAGTTCTACTAAAAATATTCTTTTTTAGTGAAATTTTGCCGGAGAGGGCGTTCAATTTGGGAGATACGTTATACTGCTGTGACCTTGAACAAGCTGAGCAGGCACGTGTCCATTGTTTATAATATGCGTGTCCCAGGCGTTTGTGCGTGTTTGGTGGGCGATGGAAAGGAGGTAGGAAAGATTTTAGGCCTATGCTAAATTTCACTGTAGTATGTTAAATAATTACAATGCCATTCGTCATCTATTTTATACTTATCATCTTTAGACAAATAAAACTTCAGCGATACGAATTGCTTTATTTATCTTACTGAGCTAGGCTAGTTTAGCCTGAGCAGAGTGAGTACGTGAGTGACAGTAAAGTACTGCACCAGTAGGCGAATCTCTAGAGAAGCTAGGGCTAGGACGAAGCAGGTCAACTCGGCCCCAAGTCAACTCGGCCCCAGTCAACTCGGCCCCATGTCAACTCGGCCACAAGTTAACTTGGCCCCAATATACTGTATATTTACGAAATAATTACCAAAAGAATATGAATTAATGCAAAAACTATGCCAGAATTAAAGTGTTTTAAATCTTGCCTTCGTTATTCTTTTTTCATAACAATAATACAAACAACAACTAGAGATACTACTATATGTTCAATAGAATATTCATTTTCCATAATTTGACCCTAATGTGACCACTGTGACCTTTGACCTCAAGCTGTGAACACCCCCATGTTTGGTAAGAGTCTGTCTAATGCAATTGGTCCAATCGTTAGTCTAAACTACTAACTACTAAATCCTTTCCGAGCCACTGGGGCTCTACATAGGGCTGGAGCTTATCCCCAGTTTCTGTAGTGTGAAGCAGCCATGAGAGTTCTACTCCCCCTGCCAGTCCATCTCAGGTTAGTCCCCAGTAGTTTGCTGGTACCCATTGATACAGCTGGGTGGACTGAAGCAATGTAGCTAAAGTGCCTTGGCCAAGGACACAAGCGAATCTGCACAGCGCAGACTCAAAACCCTGACCTTACGATTGAAAGTCCAAACCTTAACCGCGCAATAGAAATATTTGATAATTTTCACCAAAATGACCTTTGTGACTTTTGACCATAGGCAAAGAGTATTTTTTTCATGTTTAGTTGGTCCTAAGGATCATTCCTGATAAAATTTGAGCTCAATTTGACTATTTTTAAAATTTGACCCCAATGACCGCTATGTAACCCCTAATCCCAGACTGGGGTGCAAGAGGTGTCACTGGTTCTTAATGATAAAATTTGATTGAATTCCGTTCAATCGTTTGCCATTAGTAACATTTTGAACCTTTGACCTATGAGGTGAAAAGTATTTTTTTTTTGTGTTTAGAAGTCCTAAGGATCATTCCTGGTAGATTTAAGCTCAATTGGGCTACTTTGAAAGTTTAACCCTAATGACCCTTATGTGACCCCCTGCCTGATCCCAGACTGGGGTGTAGGAGGTGTTGCTGGTTCTTAATGACCAAATTTGATTGAATTTGGTTCAATGGTTTACCATTAAAAGCATTTTGAAATGTTACCAGATAGAACAAAAGAATAACCCTTTAATGTCCTTTGACCCTAAATTGCTGAACACCATCGAGACCCTACCATATGCTATTACACATGTGCCCAGGACAAGACTGTGTATGTTATTTGTGACAGAAGTCTTTTATTCATTTTTTAAAAAAGTTTTTACCCTAATGACCCCTGTGTGACCTTTGACCCCAAACAGTGAACACCCCATGTATGAGAGGTGTCACCGGTTATACTGACGAGGTTTGGTTGAAATCGGCTCAACCGTTTGGCACTAGTAGCATTTTGAAATGTTTCCAGAAAAAAGATAAAAATTACCCCTTAAATACCTCTGACCCCTTATCCCTGAACACCCTATAGACTCTGCCTTATGCCAATGTATATGTGCAAAGGACAATAGACCGTGGGTTGAGTCTCCAAAATCGGCTTAGTTTACGAATTCTGTGACCCACCGATCCGCGCTACTTGGCATTCGCACAAAAATGTCAATACTATTTTATTGGAACATACAGTAATATAATTGTCGGCAATCGTAAATTTGGGGAAACTGTAACCAAAAATGAGAATTTATCTTCGAAAAAATAATGTCGTTCACGAAAGCAGTACCCAATCACAGCATACTTACCATATCTGTTAAGCATTGGTGAGACGCTATTAGCCAATCACAAACGTTCTTGTAAACTCGGTAACTAATGTAAACAATGTCGCAAGGAAAGTGAAAATGTGTAGCAATTTGGACGAAAGTTCTCCGGTTTTAGTGGAATATTTCAATATGATATAAGTATACCAGCCTTTAAATAAAATATATTGGTAATAGTTGTAAGATTTTAGAGGTAGTAAATTGCATTTCCCGTCTTCTGTCGACTGTCATACCGTAGTTTTTTAAGCCAAAGTCGACCGTGCTGTACTGAA